GTGGTTCGCTCCCGACCAAAAGGGCTGGTCACCAAATGTGGCTTTACTGGCCGCAAAATCACTGTACAAACCAATTACTATAAGGTGAAGAAGCCACTTAACTGGACCATCTATCAATATCGTGTAGACTTTGTCCCAGACGTGGATAATACCAGACTGCGTCGTGGTCTGTTGAGTGAGCATCGTCAGGTTCTTGGCGGCTACATATTCGACGGGACAATCTTGTTTTGTATTACCCAGTTTAAGAAAATTCCCAACTCACCCTATGTATTGGAGCTGCTGACTAAAAGTCGTGGCGGTGAAAATATACTTATCAAGATCAAGCATGTGGGCACCGTGGAAGCGGCAGACAATCAGCAATTTCAAGTGCTCAATCTTATCCTAAGACGTGCCATGGAGGGTCTTCAGCTACAACTTGTATCACGCAACTTTTTTGATCCCCAAGCAAAGGTAATACTTATTTGTTAACTATATTTGTGCATATCAGTATTTCTTAGTAATTTACTTCCCGTAATCTAATAGAATAATAGGTAATCTAGTCTGAATCCATAGAAGCTGTCTGTTAAAAGTGGTTATATTGTCTTTTGAACTCATTGAAAATCAGAAATCACGGTTTAAAATTTATCTGTCCATAGTACTTTTTGATGGATTTCTTGTGTATACATAGAAATATTCAAATTTTTTAATGCCAGCTTGTTTGCATGGTTCGGGGGATCTCCTAGTCGAGCGGTCTCGACTAGAGCACATAGTTGGTGTACTCAATTTTAATCTGAATCTGATCTTTAATGCTCCATTCAAAAGATTCCCTTGGATAGATTCCGGGTCGAATTGTGGCCCGGCTATACAACTTCCATTCGCCAACACGAATCGGACATTCTCTTGTGCACTGAGATCGCCCACAAGGTGATGAGAACTGATAGCTTGTATCAAGTTCTATCGAAAGTTATTTGCGAAAGCGAGGACTATCAAGCGGCCTTCAGGCGTGAAGTGATTGGTAAATTAAATTGATCTAAATACTATCTAAGATAATATGAATTGTAATAATAATTTTGCAACAGGTGTGATTGTCTTAACTGATTACAACAATAAAACCTATCGCGTGGATGATGTGGATTTTCAATCCTCACCAGTGTCGAAATTCAATACCAAGGAGGGAGATATTTCTTATGTAGAATACTACAAGAAGGTAAGTGTAACTTTATTATGCTTCAAATAATAAACATATAGTTTAGTTTTTTTTTTTTTTTCTATATAGCGCTATAACATCATAATTCGCGATCATAAGCAACCGCTTTTGGTGTCTCATCCCACCGAGAAGAATATTCGTGGTGGTGTTAATCAATTGATAATGTTGATACCGGAACTGGCACGCGCTACAGGGCTAACTGATGAGATGCGTTCAAACTTTCAGTAATTCAATATTTTTGGGTGTAATTATAACATTCTAAATCGTATTATTTCTAGATTAATGAAAGCCATGGGAGAGCATACGCGCCTCACGCCCAATCGTCGCATAGATCGGTTGCGCGTCTTTAATCAACGCTTGCAAGAGTCTAAGCAGAGCGTTGAGGTGCTGAAGTCCTGGAACATTGAGTTGGACAAGTCTTTGGTCGAAATACCCGGACGCGTTTTGCCCTCAGAAAAAATTGTGTTTGGCAATCAGAAGCGTTATTTGTGCGATGCACGCGCTGATTGGACATTCGAGTTTCGCAGTAACTCTATGTTCTCGCATATAGACATCAAGCGCTGGTATGTAATAACGCTTCGTCGTAACCTCCGGGAGACTCAGGAGTTTGTAAAACTATGCATCCGTGCAGCAGCCGGCATGAAAATGCATATTTCTGAGCCAAGATAGTACGTAACAAACCCAAGCATAATAAGTAAAGTCAAGTGAATTAACAGTTTGTACCTATTGTACAGCGAGGAAATATCAGACGATCGTAATAACAACTATTCGCAGGCGATTGACAACGCCGTCGCTCGGGATCCACAGATTATTATGGTGGTTCTGAAGACCAACAACGAGGAGAGGTAAGCTCCTAGCCGTATAACAGTTAATTGCAAATACTATAATCATTTGCATTTGTATGTAAACAGGTATAGCTGCGTCAAGAAGCGCACTTGTGTCGATCGTCCGGTGCCCTCGCAAGTAGTCACACTTCGCACGATTGCACCGCGCCCCGAGCGATCAAGTGGTCTGATGTCGGTTGCTACGAAGGTTGTTATCCAAATGAATGCCAAGCTAATGGGCGCTCCGTGGATGATTGAACTGCCGGTTCGTGGCTTGATGACTGTTGGCTTCGATGTCTGCCACTCGTCGAAGAATAAGAACAAATCGTATGGTGCTCTGGTAGCCACCATGGACATGAAGTCATCTACTCGATACTATTCTTCGGTTAGCGAGCATATAAAGGGGCAGGAGCTGTCCGATCAAATGTCCTTGAAAATGGCGTGTGCCCTAAAGGCATACCGCGAGCACCATGGCGCCCTACCAGAGCGCATATTATTCTTCCGTGATGGCGTCGGCGATGGGCAGTTGTACCAAGTGGTTAACACGGAGGTAAACTTTTTAAAAAGTCAGCTCGATCAGATCTACAAGTCCGCAGGAAAGGAGGAAGGTTGTCGCATGGCTTTTATTGTCGTGACTAAACGTATCAATACACGCTACTTCGTTAATATGCGTAATCCGGAACCAGGAACTGTCATAGACGACATTATAACTCTGCCGGAACGATATGATTTCTTTTTGGTGTCACAGTCAGTACACCAGGGTACAGTTTCTCCGACAAGCTATAATGTTATTCAAGACAACATGGGATTGAGTGCGGACAAGCTGCAAATGCTGACATATAAGATGACTCACATGTACTACAACTGGTCGGGCACCTGCCGTGTACCGGCCGTCTGTCAATATGCTCATAAGCTGGCTTTTCTAGTTTCTGAAAGTATTCATCGCACTCCGTCGTCTGGATTGGAGAATCAACTATACTTTTTGTAATAATAATACTTTGACTAAGAACATTTACTTAAAACATCTTGACTGTCCCGGAGATGACATGTGGCACTACACGCAGCTTTAGTTTCTACTACATATATTTATTTTTTATCTTAGACATAGAATATTCATGTGAAATAGTTGACAAAGTTCGGACTAAATTGGAAAGACCGGAAAATGTTTGAGTACAATTGGAAGAACGCTTCACGTTGTCGACCTATTTCCTTGGACAATTTATTCCACACTGATTTGTATTGAAATGGATGCACATTTAAATAAACTTGAATTCCAATATACCTGTCTTAGCAAATTACTGTAGTCTACTTTTGTGCAGCTTGGAGACACATTGTCAACACGAAGTTTTTTTTTTTTAAATAATTTCAACTACAAAATGTAGGTTGTAAAGTTTACATCAGCGCTTTCATTTATTAATTAAAACTTCCAATTGAAGCACAATGCGGATTTCATTAGGATTCTACCTTCACAACGGTCGTCTTCTCAGACACGTACAGACCGTCCAAGAACTTACGAATATCCTTGTTTTTAACGGTGGTCGATTGTTGGATGAGTGCCGCGGAGCCGGAGACAGCCTCGATGTCGTTGCCTTCAACGATGAGCTCATCCTTTTGGGCCGTTGAGTTGACAACCGTCACGCCGGGAGCCATCACGACACGACGGATGTACTTCTCACCCAAGAAGTTACGGATCTCAATAACTGTGTTCTGCTCGGAGGTAACGCAGTTAATAGGGAAATGAGCGTACACAGCACGCATTTTGTACTGGAAGCCGAATGTCACTCCTAAAATTAAGAATATAACACATTACAAATTGTTATCCAACCATTCCAATTAATATTCGCTTACCCTTGATCATGTTCTCAATGTGGCTGCACACTGTACGCACGGCAGCGAGCTCCTTCTTTGTGCCGAACCATTTCTCGACTTTCAGGGTGCGTTTGTCCGACATGTACATGTCCAGAGCCAGATGCTTGAAGCTACGCTTCAGGGTGCCTCTGGCGCCAGTGATTGTGACCACACGCGCCTTCACGGAGGCTTTAATATCCTTGGGGATCTTGACACACTGATTCGAGTTGATCGTTCGCATTTTGGCGACACTGCAAAATGGTAAACAAATATTTGAATGAGAATCAATTGTACCAGTACTTAAATTCACACATTTATAGAATTCTCAGTGAACATAGATTTGTCTGACATGTTTGCATGTGTATATTCAGCAAATCATTCACTTCTAATTGCGCTACGCGTAAACAAAACATTGCAATTAGCTAGGTCTCATTATGAATTCATGTATCGCATTTGTGGTCAAATATATACGTAATTAACAAAATAATTCATTTGTCACTCGTTTAACACACTTAGCGAATGTCTGAGCATATCCATTTCGTTGATGCTTTAAAATTCATTTTGTACACAATTTCTTAAGAAACTTACACACTGCAGACCGACCGGAAAGAGGCTGGAAAAAGAAAGGAAATATTTGACGTTTCATTTGGGGCTGCCGTATCGGAAAAACAATGAGGGAAATATTGAGGGAAATTATTTGATGCTGCCAACCTAATTGAATTACAGTGTTGATACGAACAGCTGATATGTAAACTTTCTGTATTATCACTGCTATTTCATTTGTTAACAGCTGTTGATATTTTATGGATTGCAAGTAGTGATATATTTTGTATAGGAATTTAAGCGAAAATATGGCATTATTTTTCTGTGATGTCGAATATCTTGCTTGAACAGATGAACTGTAGTTGCAGAAATAACAGATTTTAGTAGCGTTCTGTTAATAACATTATTTTTGAAACATGTTAACTTTACAGAGGAATGAAGCAAAAAATTAATGGCGGGAGCTGAATGGCGTGGGCAAATCACTCTCTCTTCCGACCGGCGCTAGATTGCAAAATTTTAAGTTGACAAACGGATAAGCAAAGTGAATATACGTTTGCTTATAATTAATAAAAATAGCGTGCGGAAACGAACTAACAAATATGAACAACACTGGATCGCCACCAGATGTCCTACAGACGGCAGGCAATATGCTTGAATGCTATGACTTTCAAGATAGACAAAAGCCGGAACTTTTGGAGGTAAAATCAAGCCAAATGTAACGAAATCGTTTTGTTTAGTGAGCAAACTAATGCCATAATTAAACTAAATAGTTGACAGGCATCAGTCAACATGGAAGAGCAACAATGAGCGGCCTCAACGATTATGACTACCAAACGCTGGGACAGCTCACCTCCGGCGACTCACATAACCTACAACAGCTGCGAACGCTCACAAAATGTGGTATACCCAATGAGGTCCTGGAGCACTTTAAGCGTAAATAGTTTCTGCTGTGCAATTACCAGTAAAGATTTAATGCTAATTCATTCATTTAGATATCAAATGCCACTGCATAATGGGCTTGCTTCCGGACATTGGACGCGCCTGGCTGACAATCGATTCGGATATATATATTTGGACATATGAGGAGACGCGTGACGTAGCCTATTACGATGGCCTTAGCCATTTAATTCTGAGCGTTGGCTTGATAAAGCCAAAGGCAGGCGTTTTAATAAATGATGTCAAGTATCTGCTATTGCTGACGACGCCCATTGAGGTGATCGTCCTGGGTGTTACATTCGAAGAGCAAAAGGATTCTAGAGGATGCACAGTAAAAAGTGGTCGAATGCAGCTATTGAATAAGCCGCTCTTCGTTCTTAGTACCGATAATGTTACCATAAATGTTATCGAGGGCACAAAGGACGGACGCATCTTCTTGGGCGGTCGGGATGGTTGTCTGTACGAAATTGATTATCATTCGGAATCGAGTTGGTTTGGCAAGCGATGCAAGAAGATAAACCATTCTCAGGGACTGGTCTCCTACATAGTGCCAAGCTTTCTAAAAGTGTTCTCGGTAAGTAATGAGAAGAGTTTAATGGCATTGATTACTGACAATTTACCTTACAGGAGGTTGATCCTATTGAGAAAATTGTTATTGACAATCGGCGTAGTTTGCTTTATATTTTAACTGAAAAGAGTTCCATCGAAGCCTGGCACATTGGCGCAAACTCTACGTCCATGCGAAGGCTGAGCAAGATTACACAAAATGATATAGCCTGCCAGGCGGTTAACTTGATTAAGTAAGTGGACAAACTATAGAAGTTTAAAGCAATACTAATAATTTGTACCTACAGAACGGTTGATCCATCAATTTTCAAGAGTGTAAAAGCCATTTGTCCGCTCAGTCCAGACAGTTCCAATTTCCTGCACCTTGTTGCTGTCACGCAATGCGGCGTGCGTCTCTATTTCTCTACCTCGCGCCTAAACGTACAACAGCAGAATGTGTCGGACAACTATGGCTATAATAATAATCCAAATCAATTATCCATGGGGCAAGGAGAAACGGAGACATCGAGAGGAATTTTTCTATTGCATGTTCGGCTGCCACCTGGTTACACGCCGAATGCAACAACCAATAAACCGAAACAAGTTCATGCTGCATATTACAGCGAGGGCACAATGTTAATGGTCACCACTCAGCAGCAGGAACAGGACTTACTCTGGTCCATTAGCTCTTCGCCGTTTAGCAATTTTTCATACCTCGTTGAGTCGACAGCGTTGGAGAATCTGGATGGCATCGTTTGGAGCATCTCCGATGTCAAGGATGCGATTCTGGACAACACGAGTTCTTTGCTATATAATGCGCGCACATCGCGTAGAGTCATTTTGCTTACCAATCAAGGTACCCACATTGTGGAGCTGATGAAGTCTGTTCATATTCTTCAGCAGTTGCTGATATCCTGCAAGGGACCACACAATGAGGCTGTAAAAATGTTCTTTCAGACGCAGAACGAGCGTGAGGCTTGCTTTACAGCGTTGCTATTGGCCACCTCGGATCTGTTAAATGGCAGCGATATTGCCCTATGGGCCACTCAAGCATTTATGCTCTATGGCGGAGAGCCTTGCTATCAACACTATCTAAATTCTACTAATCGCAATTTGCACAATAGCACAATCAGCACAAACCCTGGCCTGGCTGGCAGGGATCGAATGCCGCCGATGTTCATGTCCACACCTATGCCAAATGCTGCAAATATAGGCGCAATGTCTAGTCAATACAATCAGGCAATAAGTCCTAGTAAGTGACCAATATAAACATAATGTGATTTGCTGTACGCATATGTGCTGATTCTGAAACATTATCTGTACTTTTATTTACAGTTTCAGCTGCACAAACTACACATCACCAGCAACAACACTTCACACAAAAGCAACAACAGCACTCGATGCCCAGCAATGAGAACTCTCCAATTATATATTCAGCGAAACATGATGGTCTCTTTTTATTTGTGTCGCGCATGCTGCGATCCATTTGGCAATCACATTGTGTTGATGAGAATATGTGCTCGAAGCTAAGTTTATCCGATTGCTCGATGCTATTGTCCGAACTGCGTGCGTTGCGCTCGTTTTTGGACAAGCACTCGGTCCATGATATTTCAGGTAAACCAAGTGCTCAACTTTGATTCGAACTAACGCATGCCTATAATAGAATACTATTATTATTTCTAGTAACAAGACGAATGCCGTATGACAGTCATTTGGCCCTGATGAACAGTACCCAAATGCCACTAAATGAACACCGGAACATTGCGGAGCAGGCACAGATTGAGGAGAAGCGTTCGCTGTCCGCTCTAAATCAGTTTATTAGTAAGTTTCGATGCCAGGTTCGATAAAATAGTTCTAATCTCTGTTATAATGCTTTATAGAACATGCCTGTGAGGTAATGTCGCTGTGGAGCATCCTTATTGATCATCAATTTCCATTGCTTTGCCAACAATTGTCGCCGGAGCATCAGAAAATGTTGAGGTGTTGCACATTCCGGGATCTGCTGATAGCACGCTCTGAGGTGTGCGCTTTCCTGATCATTGCGCTTATCAATCTATACCTGAAGGACAAAGCTGATGTTGCAGAGTTGTCCGCCTGCTTGCGTAGACTATGCCCGAATCTGTACAGGTACGAGGATGAGGTGACCTACAAAGCAACCGAAATACTGATGAGTGCCAAGAGCTGTAAGTCAGCAGCCGACAAGCAACAAAAACTGGCCATTACATTGCGAATGTGCCTGGAGGCCGCGCCAACGCTGCCACTGCACAGCATTTGCCAGCAATTCATTTCGGTTGATTTCTTTGAGGGGGTGGTTGAGCTAGTTGCCACGTGTGCTTCGAAAACGGATCCAGAGGAAATCGGTATTCATTATTATAATAACAATGAGCCGGCTGAGGATCACGAGGGCTACGCTTGCTTTGTGACACGGTAAACTAGGATGAGCTATATATCTAAGCTTCAGTCAAATTCAACCATACTCTACGTTTCTTGCAGTATGAACTATTACAAGGAGGTGCAGATTATGCTTGATTATGTCTACAATACGGTTCGTAACAGCAAATGCGATCAGGATCAGAGTGGACTCTTTCAGCCAAATTACGATGAAAAGGAGGATCAAAATGATATGGAAAACAGATCAAAGCAAATTATTAAAAAGATCACAAACCAGGCACTCCGAAAGAAAGATCCACTTATGCATGTCTCGATCTATGAGTGGCTGTTGACCCACGAAATGAACAGCGAATTATTGGATTTGACTGAGCCCTCGTTGGGCGAATTCTTGCGACGCAGTGTTAGTCGAAATCCAGAGAATGTCAAATTAATTGACTTACTCTGGAAGTATTACGAGAAGAATGGGCACCATCATCAAGCAGCGAAGATTCTCGATAACCTGGCCATGACAAGGACCGAGAACATATCTTTGGATGTGCGTATTGACTACCTGGTGCGCGCTGTCATGTGTATGCGCAATGAAACCGTTGGCTCATCCGTGACTAATGGCATATTTCTGAAGGAGCTGGAGGATAAGGTCAGCAATCTATATTTCAAGTACATGTGCAAATTAATATTTATATTCTGTATATCTAGTTGGAAATTGCGCGCGTTCAAAAGTCTGTGCTTGCAGCGATGTCCTTGCTTTTACCTACAAATGAAGCTGCCAGACAGGCTGTGAAGGACTTGAATATTGCACTTTATGATATCACACAATTGTATCAGAACTTCGCAGAGCCATTCAATCTGTGGGAGTGCCAGTTGTCCATTCTCAATTGCTCCAATCACAATGATCCCTTATTGATAGAGTCCGTATGGGGAAATATAATTAATAGCTCTGTCGAGGGTCCCGGCACAGCACAGGAACGCAGTGTAAAGCTTTTTACGAAAATTGAACTATTGGTTCGAGAGTTTGGTGAATCCGGGCCGTGTTTTCCATTTGCTTTCCTCATCAGGGAGCTCGAGATAAAAGCCTGTCAACTCCATTTGCCTGAGGGAACGGTGCCAGAAAAGCTATTCGCCATGAAGCTGGACATTGAACTACTCCTAGAATATTATTCCAGGTAAGGGGATTATGGATGATGCAATTCATACCCAGCTCTTCATATGCGTTTCTTTCTCTAGAATGATTTCAATGAATGAGCGCATTTGGGCGAACGAAGGCAACGAGTGGCACTTGATACAGTCGGCTATACGCGTTGTCACACTGTTGGCGGATAATGCCCAAGCTATTTGGTACCGCTCCAAGTAAGTTTCCCTCTACAAACGGCTTAGTTGGAAAATTTATATTATAAGACTGTTTATTTCAGGCGACGGATATTAGGTAAAGCACAGGACATAGTCGCGGCTTGCTTGAACATTTGTTATCAGAAGCCGGACACCAATCGCCTGCAGCATTCTCTCAAGGAGCTTCAATGTCGTTTGCAACGGCTATTAGGTTAATGTCTCTGAACTTAGTTATTTTCAAATGGTATATATTTTTTTAGGGCAAAACAATAATGGTATAGCTGTTAAGTTTGACTGAAGTATAAAACTTTGTACGCGTTATTTATTTACTGTCTAACACACAAATTGAGCTACGAAACTATGTTGTGTCCATCATCTTTAGGTGAGCTTCCGTAAGTATGCATTTTGTCATGTGGCATGAACAGGGAACGGGATGTTCTTCTACATTCGGGTCGAGCAGCTCGACTTCCAAATTGTACTTTCTCGCATCATTTGCACTGCGTTTCATTAGGATCTGAAAAGCCACCGGAGATTTCTCATCTAGAGTTTCACAACTTTCTTCTGGGAGTACTACAACGCACTGCTTCCAGTGGGTCTCTGGGGCCGGAGGCGATGTGCTAAGCACAACAGATTCTTCGCCGGGGAATCGCACTTCGAACCATATACAGAAGCCCTGATGCTTGCCGGGCTTTTGTGTGGCTACGACTTCCTTGAAGCGTATTTCGTCCAGCTCTTGGGTACTAACATCGAGTAAACTCATCCAATGAAATACAATGCCTTCGTGGAGCAAATCGTTTGACGTTAGTTGTGTAATTTCTGGTCTTGTTGATTTTTGTAACCGCAATTTGCTAGCGAACTTTTCCATGTTGACTCCATCAACGTTTTGCCAATAATCATACAGGGATGGGACAGAGCATGGAGCCACATATATTGTGCACTCACTGGGGAACAAAAGTCCATTTGGTTTCAGGAAATTATCCCTAGCAAAGAGCACGGAGTCCAACATGCCTTCGTGCAATAGATAAAATCCCATCCACTCTGAGACAATAATGTCGACTTTTTCGGCCGAAGAGGGCAGCACGAACTCCTCAATCTGGGAATGAATAACTTTGACAATGTCGGTAAGGCCATTGTCTTCAATAAGATCTAATGCAACTTTAGTTGCAAGATTGGAGGCCTCAATAGCATAAACCAATCGGGCACCGGCTTGCGCGCAGAACGCAGAAAGTATTCCCGTACCAGCCCCTACATCCATCACTACTTTATCCTTAAACAATTCCTTGTTTTTCATAATGGCATTATAATAAGCTTCTTGTCGTGGTCGATCTCTCAGCATGAGCTCGTGCACCTGCGAGGATGTGACTCAGTTGTAACAAATATGTATAAATAACCGTGATGAACCAAAGTGATTACCTCTAAATTTTCATATTCCGTAAAATACGTATTCATTATAGGGGTACTTATTACTTTTGGTAAAATAAACTTGAATAAATAAACTACAAAAAGATCTTTATAGGTTAAAAAGAACGGTCAACAGAACTGTTATTTAACATAGCTTACTTTTTAACATGCTACGATTGATTAATAGTGCTAACATACTGAGAAAGGCTCAGCTGTTTAATAACAGTGACCAAAAACAAAAGCGGTAAATGCCAAATATGTGATTTCATTTTATTGGTATACAGCTATAAGGACCTATGTGGATATTATTCAATTACTAGTTTTTTCATAAGTAATTCGTTCAAAATACTTGTGCGCTGATAATAACATAAAATGCAAAGAGATGTCATATGTTTCAAAAGCAAGGAACTAAATGAACGAACTGGTTAAGGGAACTTATTTCTTTAGTCGGCCACGTAAAATCTATAGTAAACAACAGTTTGGCCCTAATAATTAGAAGTTTTATTTCTTATGTCTACATTCAAAAATAGGTATTTCAAATGGAAATGAGTAAATTAGATCTAAACGAAATGATTCGCAATTTGGATATAAGTACAACGGACAAAGTGGACGAAAGCCTCCAACGTATTGCAGAAAAAGAAGTAAGTATTATTTCGGTGTTTATTTTGCCAATTAATAAGGGAAGAATTTTTGTAGGCAGACGTAAATGCCAAACTCGAAGCTGCCTTGTCCAAGCAATGTCAGATTGAGGCAAAATTAAGCGGCATCGGCCGAGCTATGGCCACTTTACATACCGTTGAGACCGATTCCAACAAGCTTAACATGCAAATTGTAAACACAGCTAAGCTGGCTGAGTCCGTTAGTGCTAAAGTGCGTCGGTTGGATCTGGCGAGATGTCGGGCCTCCGAGTGCCAGCAACGGGTACACGATCTTATTGACTTGCAGCTGTGTAGTCAGGGCGTAGTAAAGGCTATCAGTGAAGAGGATTATGAAAAGGGGGCAGGACATATCGCTCGCTTTCTGGCAATGGATCAACAGCTTCTGCAACGCACAGCGGATGATGTTCAGGGTTCGATTACGTCAGTGAGCGATGCTGTGCACACACTCGAGGAGGCCACTGAAAAGATCAGAGAATTGATTTCCAAGCGTTTTGATGAGGCTGTCCAACAAGATGATTTGGCGTCTGTGGAAAGATTTTTCAAGATATTTCCATTGGTTGGTTGCCACAAGATCGGCATTGAGAAATTCTGTGGCTACATTTGCCAAAAGCTGTCGACCAAGGCCCAGAAAGAGCTGCGTAATGCACAAGATATTGCAAAAGCTGAGCGTCGCCAACATTTAGCTTATGCCGATCGATTGACTTCGATATTGGAGAACTTCGCACGCGTCGTTGAAGTCAATCAGTCGATTATAGAAGCATTCTATGGTCAAGAGTAAGTACGCAACCATCGTAAAGTAAGAGCTAAAATTATGAAATTGTATTTGTCGATTTCAGATCTACTTCTTTGGTAAAAATGATGACCATCTTGCAAAGAGAATGTGATCTTGAAGTTAAGAATTTGCTGTTGGAATTCAACAAAAATCGCCAAATTCAATATCGCATTAAACAGGTGAACGACAGCTCTCAGCGTCCAAACAGTTCGAGTATGGCTAACAGTAGTATGCAGTCGTTGGGACACTACAGAAAACCGTCGGGCGGCTCTATGGATAAATTGAACCCAAAGGATATTGATGCCATTATAGCCGAAATTACAGTGATGCACTCAAGAATAGAGTTATACTTTCGATTTATGCGTCGCCGTTTACAGGTAATATTTATCTATAGATTTGCTCTATATAGATAGGAAAGTTTAATTTAAACAATCTATGGACAGGTCAATGCTGAAACATGTTTACAAGATAAGGAAGCACAAAACTTGATACTTAAAGAATATGAACGTGTTGTGAAGCATTGTGACTTAAGCCGCCACATGCAAGAAATTCTTAGCACATATTTACTATTTGAAAGGTACCCATTTGAATATCAACTGTGCTTTCAGTTTGTAATAATTTTTGTATATTAGATATTTTATGGAAGAAAGCGTGATGAAAGCCATTGGGTTGGACACTTATGAAGTCGGCCAGCAATGCTCGTCTATGGTTGATGACGTCTTCTTTATATTGCGTAAATCGATCCGACGCGCCTTGACAACACAGTCTATCAATGGCACCTGTGCTGTAATTAACAATGTTGCATCCTGTCTTGATGGTGATTTTGTGTCTGCTTTAAAAGCTCCTTTAAAAAATGGATATCCCTCGGGATATATTGATTTGGCGCAGGCCTATAATGCAATACAGACGAGTTTGCAGCAGGGCAAACTGCAATCGAGTGACGCCGATCGTGTTCGAACAAATTTCATAGTTCAGTTGAACAATGCTGATATGTCGACGGAATATATTGAAACGCTATGGCAGACAATGGAACAGGAGATAGCCGGAACATTCCCTAACATATCACCTCTAGAGAGGCAGTTATTGGACAGCTGCTTAACTGAGCTGAAAGCCGTTCGCGATGCATTAAAGGCAACTGTTGACTTTGGAATTCAACAGCTTAGGTCAAGTGCGATAAGACCACGCCTAAATCCCTGGGTGGATGAATTCCTTAATTATAGCCATCATCTAACAGAGGTAACTATATACTAATGCCTATGCCTTATACTCTTAATAATTAATTGAGGAATTGTCCATATAGGAGGAACTGTCTGCTTACGAGGCTGGCGAAACATTTGTTCAGTATTTCATTGTACAATTAGATGGACTTTTAAATTCATTTAAAAATGCACTAAGTCCGCGTAATTACGACGCGCTCGTCAGTATTTTGGCTAGTGAAGTGACAAACCGCTTGGAACGCGCAATCAAGAAAAGCACATTTAATCGGGTAATATCGCGTAATACTATGTTTGGATGATATTATTAATCGCTTCAATTTGTAGCTCGGTGGACTTGTTCTCGATCAGGAAGTGCGAGCTCTAGGTACATATCTTACAGGCGCAACTTCCTGGTCAGTGCGCGATAAAATGACGCGTCTGTCACAAATCGCAACGCTTTTAAATTTAGATAAGGTTTCAGAGTTGGCTGAATACTGGAATCCTGAAAATAATAGTGACATGCCATCTTGGCGACTGACACCAAATGAAGTGCGCACTATTCTGACTTTACGGTAAATTGAAATATTTCAATATTTTCATGTTACAAATATTTTATTTCTGTTTACTTTGTAGAAGTGATTTCCGTATGGAGGACATTAAACGTTTGCAACTTTAAGTTAAAAGCGTTCCTTGATTTATTTATAGTGCTGCGACTTCATGTCTTTTTAAACTAAACCAACGATTGAAATCTAATCTTAATAAGAGCTGCGAAAGTGCACCAAAACTAGATGCACTTTTAATATTAACCAATAATTTTATTAATCCAGAGATGGCAACGTTAAATCTACAATATAAAGAAAAAAAATATGTTAATATGTATACTAATGCTGTAATATTGCACCAATTACCTTTCCTCGAGCCTGACGACATCATCTAAATTGCCTTCATTCACGACGCTAAATTTTTCACATAAACTAAATATTTCGAGAATAGTTCCATAAACCGGAAACTGGGAATGACGCGCTGGCTGTGAAGTATTTATCTTTTTATCCGTTTCATCTGTCAGCAAAAAGCACTGGGAAAGTACATTAGCAAGAAATACTGAATGAGCTCTTTGAATTTCTTCAAAATCTGCTTTACTGGCAATCACATTCATGAGCATACTGAACTGACCTATAATTTTAATGTAATAATTGAATTAATAAAAATAGATATATATGGATTGTTATTAGCCTTACATTCAAGTACATCAACCTGTATGTAATACTGTAAGTTGTCCAAAAAAAACATTAAATGATTCCGTAAACTAATAATCTTGATATCGACTGGATTCCCGGTTTTGGCTGTCCATTTGTGACGAGCCCAAACAAGTTGAAGATCGTACTGTATTTTTCGAACAGTTAATAGAAAACGAAAAACGGTATTGTAACGTTCTACGGTCGTCGGTGAAAACAAAAGGTTCAACGGCCATTTATATATGTATTTCAGATGAAGATTTTGAAACAAAGCAAATTCACAGCTCTCATCTAAATCGATGGTTGTTTTCTGTACACTCAATGAAAAGTTCTCCAAATCATCAGCCGTTGCCATTACGTTTGCTGCAATCTATACAAAAAAATAGTTTTACATATGTTCACAATAATTTAAAATAATAATACTTGGACTTTCCTACCTCAAAAGCTTTGGTGTAGTTTTTGTTATTTAATTCTACAAAATTTTCGGAGCTTTCATATAGCTGACGAAAGAATTCCAAATAAAATTCACCTCGTCCCAAAAGGTAAAAGTCTTTAATGAGACCCAATTGACGCTCCAAATCGTCTTCAATAACTGCTATTTCCGACAAACGTTGGCTAACGTATTTCTTGATTTGATTAATAGCTCTTTCCAATTCGAATGCATCGATCTTATCATCCTGATTTAGGTCTTCTATCAGATTACAAAATATTCCCTCCTTGCCATTCCAAAGCTCATCGATATCATCACAGAATGGTCCTTGCGATTTCGGTATCCAAGAATCAGTTTTAATCTTGCGTCGATCTAATTTAAAAACGAGGACCGTTTGTCCGACGAATAAAATCTTTTCAGCTAAAACGGCTGACACAAAACTGGGTAATTGACTAAATCTGATCTCATATTGCCATATTTCCTCCTCACTCAATATGCTCTGCAAAGTACATTTTCAAAATATAATTAAAAATCTTATTCAAAATGGTTATCTTCTTACCTGCGAACTCTTAGTGCTTGTGTAAGACTTATCACAGGAAGTCTTTGCAACGCCTTCGTTTGGTCTATAGTTTATAAAGAACTCGGAGTATTCATCATCAATAATGCCAAACAAAAGCCAGTGCGCCAGGTGCGACAAGAAAGCCAATTTTACGGGCCTCGAAACTCTAAATTATTAAACAATTATTAATTAATTACAGTGTATTTTGCTATAACTTACTTGTTGATTATTTTCTTCAGACGAATATCTCCGTGGTCATAAGAG